CATATTGGAAGCAAACTCCATAATGAGTTTCTTCTATGTCCATTTTCCTTTCTGACACAGGTGGTATTGCCAGGAGCAGTTAAGTCTCACTGTTAAGAAAAACTCTAAACCATTTTAAATGCCATATTCTGTAGGTCCTTGAAAGGTTTGAAGAATGCCTGTCCATTTGAACTATGTGTGTGTGTGTGTGTGTGTGTGTGTGTGTGTGTGTGTATATATATATATATATATATATATATATAAAACCTAACTATAAGTTTTCACTACTATAGGTTACTATCTATAATCTGTACTAAATTTACATTTTTAAATGAGCTATATAAACATAATACCTAAACAAGAGGAGAAATATAGATATCACAAAATTGACCTTAAATTGTATCAATAAATGAAAATCCATTCCAAAACAAAGTATTCATTTCTATACCATAATCCCCTTTTTACCTTTAAAAAGAGATTGGTTGTGGTCATTAACCATTTATAACCAACCACATTTAAATGAAAACAAACATTTACAGACAATATTTGGGAATTTGGGCGTCATTCTTTCCAATCTGCTTCCTGTTGGTAGGGGGCATTGTCTTGGGGATCCTAAGAAGATGCAGAAATCCTGGCTGTAGTGGTCTGCAAGGCTACCTTGTCCCAACTGTTATGAATGTTGGATCACCTGGGACAGTTTCAGGGGGTCTTGCTTGATCAAACCATATTATTCTGGAAGGAATCCATAGCTTTTCATTTTCTGTGGAAACAAAAATAGAAATCCTTTTCCCCAGTAACCTGTCCTTAGACTTAAATTTTGAAATCAAAATATTTTTAAAATATATAAATTGGATTAATTTGGCAGCATTGATAATCAATTCTATTTTAGCCATGCAGTTGTTGTTCCTTTCTTAGCAACTGAGCAATTCAAAGACAAGACAGTAGCATACAGTGCCCAGACTCTCTGTGTATTTCCCATCTTTAGGTGGATTTTTTATTACTCTATTTCTTTTACTTCTATTTTTTTCATTTATTTGAGACAGGGGTTCTGATGGGAAATGTCATTATGTATATATGTTTCTCATACTGGTTAATGAATAAAGCACTGTTGGCCAATAGGAAAGCAAGATAGGTGGGACTAGGGGACAAGGAGGAAAGAGGAAGTAGGAAGGAGGAGTCAAGATGGAGAGTCTGGAGAGAGCAGAACTGCCAGCCGCCTCTTCCTGGTAAGACCACATGGAAATACATAGAAATGGGTTAATAATTAAGACAGAGCTAGCCGATAAGAAACAAGTAACTGGCCAAAAGCATTATATCAAATACAGAGTCTCTGTGTGTTAATTGGGGCTGGTGCGGTGGGCGGGACAAGACCGGTGGCGGGCGGAAAAACTTTACTCCTTACAGGGTTCTCTATGTAACTTTGGCTGCCCTGGAATTCACTCTGTACACTAGGTTCACTTTGAAATCACAGAGATTTGCTTGCCTCTGCCTCCCTAGTGCTGGAATTAAAGGCATGTGGCACCACACTTAGCTACTCTCTTTGTACTTTTTTTTTTTTTTTAAACCATTTTATCCTGTTTTTTTCCCCCCCTCACCCAAGCCTATTAAAACACACTGTAAACCTTTAGAGGTTTTTCTTCATCTGAATCTGTCTTTACCGTAAATCTTTATCTTTTTCTGGCCACGAGTCTTTTTTATCTCTTAAACAACATTGCTTAAAATGAAAGCCACAGCTGTTTTAGCCACATCTATCCAAAATGGCGGGGTACATTTATCCCCAGCACTGAGAGCTGTCTGTGCTCATCGCCTTGGTCTGTGCTGCCATCAGGCAGCATGTTGCCAGCTCGGAGATGTGGTCACTGCCATTGCTAGCTGTCATATACACCATTCAGTTGTTAGCAGGGTTTGCCATTTATGCCAAGTCAGGAAACCTCCCTATAAGAAGCCAGGAAAATCTCTGCTTGTCTCTAGCAAAACAGCCCAACCAAGAAAAATACTGCTACCAAGACTTGTTTATCTCTGTTATTTTGTTTTTAAAATCCCTTCTTAAGCTTTTGTTAAGCAGTAAGTGAAAGTTCTTAGTATCCACATTGCAGGCGCCATTTTGTTCCAAGCAGTTTTTCCTGCCAGCCTGGTCCCACTGTTGCATCAGCCCCAAATAACACACAAGAGACACTGTATTATATGTAAAGCTGTTGGCCTGTTACTAGCGTTTCTTATTGGCTAGCTCTGTCTTAAATATTAACCCATTTCTATTCATCTAAGAGTTTCCAAGTGGTCGTATCTTAACCGGAGAAGAGGAGACTTCTCTCAAGTCTCTATATCTTGAATCTCCTACTGCATCTCCCAGAATCCTCCTTGTCTCCTAGTCCTGCCTATCTTACTTTCCTATTTGCCAACATTAACCAATAAGAGAAACATATTTACAGAATGACATCTCCCATCAGAGCAGTGCTAGTTTGTTCATCATGGTTTGCTCAGTTTGGTTTTTAGTGTAATCCAGGCATCACTCCCACATCAATTATCAATTAAGAAAATGCTCCCAAAGACATGCCTATAGACCAATCTGATGGAGACATTTTCTTAATTGAGGTTCCCTCTTCCCAGATGGCCCTAGCTTGTGTCAAGTTGACAAAAACCTAACCAGCATAAATGGCATATATATCAAAGTCACCATCAGACATACATGCAAAACACCCAGAAAATAAGAATAAATCATCACAAAAAATTTCTATATAACTCAGGATTTCTTCTTTTAACAGCAAGTGACATTTCTAATCCTATTAAGAGAGAAGAATGGATGAATGGTGATGGCACGTGCCTTTAATCTCAGAACTCGAGAGGTAGAGGCAGGTGGATCTCTGTGAGTTCAAGGCCAGCCTGGTCTACAGAGTGAGTTTCAGGACAGCCAGGGCTACACAGAGAAACACTGTTTTGAAAGACCAAAAAATGGGGGGGAAGATGCTGGCCATGGTAATTCATATAATACAGATAGTGTGTGTGTGTCAGAGGACAACCTATGGGAGTGAGTTCTCACCTTCCACCATGTGGATTCTAGAAATCAAGATCAGTTGCCTCATGAACAGGATTCAAGAACACTCCCAGGGCCTTGGTTACGATTGCCCCAAAGCTGACTGGGTGACTTTAATCTGTCTGGGTTGTGTCAGTCAAGACATAATTGGGCAAGAAAACCACTAAAGAAGGGTTATACTTGTGCAGTGGTGAAAGACAGTTCATCATAGAGAATGCTAAATGTCAATCCAAGACTGCAATAACATCCACATACTTCAGTTCCCATATATGTTTTCTAAAGTCTCTGTGTAGGTTCTGGGAGCTGAACCCAGGTTCTCTGCAAGAGCGGCAAACACTTTTTACCACTGAGTCATCTTCTCTCCAGCCTTTAATTTACTTGGTGTTTTGAGATTGAATTCAGGGCTCTTTACACACCAAGTAAGCACTCTGACAATCAAACAAATCTCAGCCCCTTCATTAATTCTTATTTTTTTAAATTATAGTGTGTGTGTGTGTGTGTGTGTGTGTGTGTGTGTGTGTGTGTGTGTATACCTGTTCCTGTGCCCTTTTCTGGTCTTCATGGGCAAAGCATACATATTGGAAAGCAGGTTCACACATACACAAATAAAACTACCTTTAGAAAGTGAATGAGAAGGAGAGGAAAAGTGGGGACAGGCGAAGTGATAAAGTGACAATAGGATGTAGATTCATGGTAGAGCTATTATCTAGTAGGGGAATCAATCTCCAGACAACTTTCATCTCTTTACAGACCATATTGATAGAATTTGCACTCATTCCTTCTACCTGAATATCCACATGCTATGCCTAAGTTCAATATTCCATTCTCAGCTCAAAAGACTGCTTGATTACCACCAAATAGCACTTCCTTAACTCTTGGTCACCTCCTTACCTGTTTTCTGTATGAGTACAGATGTTTCTTCTAGCTCTGTAGACCAGGCTGGCCTTGAACTCACAGAGAGCCACCTGCCTCTGCCTCCCAAGTGCTGGGACTAAAAGCGTGCACCACCACTACCCAGTGCTTCATACTATTTCATTAGAACATTAACTTCACAATAAGAGGACAAGAGGATCCTTGGTGACTTCAATTTTGCTCTTTGTTCATTCCTAGGATATGCTAGGTCCTGCTCTAGAGATTCCTCACTGCTAACTTAGGACTCCTTTCTCAGTATTCAAGGCAAAAGTTAGTTACACTTTAAAGATTTATCTATTATGTATACTGTGTTCTGTCTGCATGTATGCCTGCACACCAGAAGAGAGCACAAATATCATTATAGATAGGTTGTGAGCCACCATGTGGTTGCTAGGAATTAAACTCAGGACCTCTAGAAGAAAAGCCAGCATTCTTAACCTCTGAGCCATCTCTCCAGCCCAAGTTACTTACTCTTACATTTCTTTTAAGAAGCTGTCTATTTTATCCTCAAGACAATGTACAACATGGACATTTATACCAGTTGTTCACTGTGGGGGGATGCAGAAGACTACTCCAAGCTAGGACCCCAGGGTTTTCAGAGGAACTGGAGTGGAAGTCAAGTTGACCAGAAGCCAACCCTCTGAACTCTCTACCACTGCAGAGGCCCTCCAATCCTTCAGATTTGACCGTCCTCCTGCCACAGGCAGTCTCTCACCAGGCCCCTCAAGGTAGTCATTTCTAGAAAGGTAGTTCTTCTGGATTCCTGCTATTCCCACCATCAACAGACACAAAGTGGGCTGATGTCCCATGAAGTCTCAGATTCAGCAGAAGATGCAGTCTATCCCCTCACCATAGAGACACCAAATCACTAAAGAGACTTCTGTGACATTCCATGAGGCCATTGTGCAGGGAACATTTGACCCCAATCTGAGGAACAGAGTATAGTGGTAGTCCAGTCATGTGTCTATGGGTTTTACCCTGCTGTGGCTAACTGGTGATAGTGCCTGAGAAATGGGAGGGTTTGACGATTGAGGTGTGTAGGGCTCTTTGGTGAGGATTGGTAGTAAAATAGGACTTGGGAGGGGCAAGGCCCTATTCTTTAGGAGTGAGGGAGGAGATGGAACCTCAAGAGCAGGGCAACCCAATTTCAAAAGTCAGAAGCCCCAGAAGATTTGGCAACACATCCAGGCAATCTGCTAGGACTAATTTGGTAGTTGAGACTAAAAAATCACATGATGTTGACCCCAAAGGAAAGACACCTCTTGGAAATTGTGATTCCCGAAGGCAGACACCTCAAACTAGTTCTTTGGTGAAAATCCCCACTAAGCACCAGACTGACCTTAATAAATGCCTGAGTTCCGGAACTAGGTGAGTATTGAGGAGGGAGATTGGTGTGAATGGAAGGTCTTTTAAGTGTGGCAATGATATGGAAGATGGAGGACCTGGGAGATGGCCCAGTACCTCCGGTGCCTGCCACACGGCAAGAGGATCTGAATTCAGTCACCAAAACCCACTTACAAAGTTGAGCAAAGGAAAACATGCCTGTGTCCCTAAGGTTGAGATGAGGGCGTTGAGATGTTTTTGGCCAGCCAGCTAGCATCGCATGAGAAATAGGTATGGTGAGAGACCCTGTCTTAGTTAGGGTTTCTATTGCTCTGATAAAACACCATAACCAAAGTGACACTGGGAAGGGAAGGGTTTATTTCTTCTTACATTGCTGCATCACAGTTCATCAAAAGAAGTCAGGGCAGGAACACAAAGCAGGAATCCAGAGGCAGGAACTGAAGCAGCCATCCTGCAGGTACACTGCTTGCTAACTGGTTTGGCCTGCTCCTTTTAGTCAATTTAGAACCACCTGCCTAGGGGTGCCATCCTATCCCTGTGAACTGGGCTTACCCACATCAGTCATTAATTTGAACAAAATACCTTATAGATTTCTACAGACAATCTGGTGGGGTCATTTCTCAGTGTAGCTTCTCCTCCTGGATTGCTCTTGTATATGTCAAATTTATAGAAATCTAACCAGCACTGGCCTTATTTGGAGCATGATAGAAACCCTAAAGATTTTTTTTTTCTTTTTTTGTAAGAATACAATACAGAGCTGGAGTGATGATTCAGAGGTTAAGAGCACTGGTTGCTCTTCCAGAGGTCCTGAGTTCAATTCCCAGCAACCACATGGTGGCTGACAACCATCTATAATGAGATCTGGTGCCCTCTTCTGACCTGCATGGATACATGCAGGAAGAATACTGCATACATAATAAATAAATACTTTTTTTTTTTTTTTAAAGAATGAATACAATATTGGCAGTGGTGACGCATGCCTTTAATCCCAGCACTTGAGAGGCAGATGCAGGCGAATTTCTGGGAGTTCAAGACCAGCCTGGCCTCTAATACAAGGGTCTGGGTTAGTTTTTGGTTTTTTTTTTTTTTTCTCATCTGTGCCTAAGAACTGATACAGGAATGTTTTCTTTGTTCTCCATCCAGTTTTGCCCAGAGACGCAAAATTCTTCCCCAGTCATCAATGTATCTTACTATTATCAATGAATTTTTCAAGCCAGAGAGGCTAACAAACCTGGAAAACAAGGTAAAAAGAAGGACAATGGAGGCACTGGGGAAGCTGAGCAAGAATATAGAGAAGGCTCGGCTCCAGCAGGAGCGTCTGCTGCAGGAGAGCAAGCTGCTGCAGGAGGAGATGATCTACCTAGATGCTGAGAACAATTACTTCTTGCGATTCCTAAGAAAACACAATGATCAGTGTAGGAAGAAGCATGAGGACCTGTGGAATCAGTATTTACAGGAATGTGTAGAGATGAGACAAAGGAAACAAGAGCTGGCATCCAAGTTTGCCCAACAAAATGCAGACCTTCAGGCACAGCTCTTGCAGGGAAAAAGCACCCAGTCCCAGCTGAAGCAGCAGGTTCAGTCATTGGAGCATATCAACTCTGTAAAGAAGACACAGGAGATGAGAATCCAGGCGTTACAGGAGGAGCTGGAGAGCATGAAAGCGGGGACAGCTATAAAGGACCGCCAGGAACACTTGCAGTTCCTGCAGCGAAAGGCGCTCCTGGACAGACAGCTGCAGGAACTAAGATGGCTGCAGAGGGGAGAGCGCAGCACCAAGGAGGTTAAGAAAAAGGTCTGGGCCTTGGAGTCGACAGCCAGGAAGGTGAATTCCGAGTTTTGCGCTAGTGTCCACAAAGAGAATCAGGGGTTCCAGGAGGAGTTAGTGAAGCAAGTCCAGGAGTATTGCAAGCTAGCATCTATAAAGAGACAGTTAGAGAAGTGGAAAGAACAGCTAAAGAAGGAACAGTGGCTCCAAGAAGCCACTGTTAGGGGGAGAAAACAACTGAAGGCAAAGACAGACAGAAGTCATAATTGTGACTTTTGTTCCAAAGAACAGGGTGCCACGAGGCCACACTGAACCATCCTTTATGTACCAAACCAAGAATAAATCCAAAGTCATTTATCTATTAGCCAGGGAATAAGAATTGGAAACAACTGGGCTCTGGCACTGTCTTGGCCTACTGGGGAAGCTGCTGAATTGCTAGCGACACTGGATGTGACCCAGCTTGGAAACTTGGATACTTTTTGGGATTCCTACATGTTCCCATGGAGGACCACTGGACATGTGGTCATTTTTCAGAAACAAGGATCCACAGTGTAGTAAATCACTCTTCTAGCCCAAATTCTAGTTGTAATGCCCAAAATACAACTACCTTAGTGAGTATTCTCATTTATAGAGGAAAGAAAGAGAGAGAAATGACACAAAGCTAGACCTGAATATTAAAGCCTATTGAGCAAACGGGAGGGAAACATCTTAGGAAGAGACAAGCACTGGATGCAAAGGCGTCATTTAAACAAACTAACTGCATAAAGCAGATGTATTGCCAGCAAGATGACGTCAATGGCCAAGGCTGAATATGATCTCTAAAACCCAAGGTAGAGAAAACAACAGACTCTTCACCTCCACATGGGCACTCTGGTACACACACACATGCATGCATGCATGCACACATGCACAACACTCTCATTGTGAAATCATATTTTAAAGAAGTATTGTTGGTGAATGATCAGGGAATTTGGGGAAAGGAGAGGAAGGTGAAGCTGGTAAGAGATACAGAGAGGCAGGACACAAGAGAAAATGATGCTGTTGGCTTCCACATCTCAATGCACAATGGAACCCTTTGCTCCAGAAAGAAGTGACTACAGGGTGAAAGAGAGTTAAGTATGTGTGCAGTGAGGAGGAAAATAGCTAAAGCATTGCCTTTAGGAAAGAGGTGGGAGATGCCAAGTGGTAGTGGTGGCGCAAGTCTTTAATCCCAGCACTCAGGAGTCAGAACCAGGCGGATCTCTGTGAGTTTGAGGCCAGACTGGTCTACAGAGTGAGTTCTAGGACAGCCAGAGATACACAGAGAAACCAAGTCTAGAAAAAGAAAAAAAAAAAAAAAAAAAAAAAAAAAAAGGAAAGACAGCCAGGGATACACAAAAAAACTGTCTTGAAACAAAGAGGTAGGAGAGATATTCTTTCTATTGTATACTTTATTTTCTTTTGTTTTTTTGAGACAGGATCTCATTTGATATCCAAGGCTGTCCTGGAATTCATTATGTAGCCATTATGTGACCTTGAATTCATGGAAAGTCCACCTGTGTCAGCCTTCTAGGAGCTACAGTTATGGGCATGAGCCAGGGCACCCATAGATATGATCACAAGTCCATCTGATATGGGTAACTCCTCAAATGAGACTTCCCCATAAGTGACTCTTGGCTGTATCAAGTTGATAATAAAATCTAACCAAGACAGAACCATATTGAGCGTTCATATTAATATCAACACTGCCTCTGGTTGGTCCTATCCCATTGAAATTTTAGAAAACAGTGTAGTCAGGATAATCTATATTGTGTCCTCAGATTTCTTAGGGGAGTTGCAAGGGTGGGAGGCAAGATCCATTTCAGATACCACTCCTCCCTCACCTCGAATTACCCATTATGTCCAGCAGGTCTGGGGAGCTAGTCAGCTGTGGACACACTGTACTTGGCCTTGAACTTGACTGTCTTCTGCTTTAGCTTTCTGAGTGCTGGGAGTACAAGTGTTAATGTGAAAGGACTTTAAACAAATTATCCCCAGCTTTGAGCTCCTTCTGCTATCCCAATCTATTTTTAAAAATCACAATGAACCTGTTTTTATTTCTAACATAATGGATGGGTGGGTTCTCCCATGTGCTTGGAATATGATTGACAGCCATCTATATGAGACAATAGGGACTTCAAAGCTTACTTTTTTTTTCTTCAATAAGAAGGCAGAATCAAATTTGTAGAAAAGTAGAGAAGAGATTAAAGTTCACTAGAGAATCTCCCCATACAAAGCTTCAACTTGCCATTGTGCTGATACCATAGCTGAGATGAGTCAATGAATAAAGGTGTTTACAGTCAAGCCTGCCAGCCTGAGTTCGATCCCTGGAACCCACATGGTAGGGAATGACAACTCCTACAAGTTGTCCTCTAACTTACACACAAACTGTGGCATGCATGCCAATATTCATGCACACTCACACACATAACTGCAATAAAAAGATGCCAAATGTAAATGTCAGCACAGCTAAACTAACTGAACTGTATGTCTCCTGCCAGCAAAATAATTTTCCCATAGTCACCTATATCACCACTAGAAAGTAACACAAGCCAGACCATGCTGCCCAAAGAGGGCTTGAGTCAGATCAGGTCAGGCCAGGTCAACCACTATCCATTTGATATTTTGAGACAAGATTGATCACTAACCCTGTAGCTCACTAATTTGGCTAAGCTAGCTGGCCAGTGAGCTCCAGGGTTCTTCCCATCTCTGGCTCCCCAACACTGGGTTTGTAGGCACACAACACCATATTTGGGCTTTATGGGAGTTATGGGGACAGAGCTCTGGTCCTTACCCTGTGCAGCAGGCTCTTTACCAACCGAGCCATCTCCACAACCTCACTTCTATATAATATATGTTTGTATGTATGTATATCCTCCAATATATTATTAGATAGTATGTATATATGATTGTATATATTCTCCTATAAAAATATTTTATGTGCATTGGTTGAAGGTGTCATCTCTTGGAACTGGAGTTATAGATAGCTGTGAGCTGCCATGTGGGTGCTGGGAACTGATCCCAGGTCCTCTGGAAGAACACACACTCTTAACCAGTGAGCCATCTCTCCAGCCCATATTTTCCTTTCTGTTTTTCAAGAGTTTTATACATTCTGCAAGAATGTTAACAAAATCAAGGGCTACCTCTGACCTACAGCTCTAGCCCTCCCTTTACCTCTCTATGTATGTATGAATGTATGTATGTATGTATGTATGTATGTATGTATGTATGTATTTGAAGCTACCTTTCTCTTAAAGGGGACTTTTTAGGAGTTTTACTTTGGTTCACTTGGGCCTTTGATCTTCTTCGCTTGGACAAATGGACATACAGGTGGGCAACTAAAACATTTTTGGTCAGTCTCTTGTCATACGGTTTCATCCTACTCGCCTTAGCTACACTTGGGTCACAAGCACTCCTCTGTTCTTTCATCCCCTTTGTATTCGGTGAGGACTCTGCCTGAACTGGCTCTTCCTCTGTTATTTGAAGGACAGTATTCATCCTATCTTTTAAGCGTTTCCCTAATTTTTACCTAGCATTTTCTAGAATAAAATGGTCTTTAATTTTTTTTTTCTTCTTCTTCTTCTTAGCCAATAAGATAGAAGGAGGCGTGCCATCTCCATCACAATCTTGACAGATTTGCGCCATATGACTCTAGGCTTGAGATTCCACCTGGTTTCGCTCCTGGAGCCACGAGCTTTGCCCCTCCCAGGTCCTACCTCACCCCTGTCAACTCTCCCTGGCTTCCTACATTGCCCCTCGACAAGTCCAAAGCCCCTACTTGGCAGCTATAGCATCTAAACAGTCCCAGAGAGTTTGATACCCAGAAGCGGTTTTGGAACCTAGTAGGTTTGGGCGGTTTGGATATCCCGGCCAATCGTAGCCCTAAGTGCAGCAGGCAGGATCAGCCGACCAATCGCAGCTCTGAACGCAAGAAGACGGATTCTCCGGCCAATCGCAGCTCGGAATGCAGAGATTGTAGGCGAGTCCTTGGATCGGTGGGCGTGGCTGAAGAAAGATGGCGGCGCCCGCGGCTCCGGCTGAGCCTCAGGCTTCCGGGGCTCCCCAGCTCCCCGTGTGTGTCCTGGTGTTGGGGATGGCGGGATCCGGGAAAACTACCTTTGTACAGGTGACGTGCAATGCGCGAAAGCGGTAGTGGCGCCCGACGGGTTGCCTGTGCCTGGGAGGAAGGGAAGTTGTCTGGGGGACTGGAGGGTCTGGACGCGTGGTTTCCTGGAGGCTTGCCTCTGACTCCCGAAGCCTCGTACCTTCGCCTGGGTCACCCACCGCAGCTTTCTGAATAACCGTAGTGCGTGTTTGGTACAACTGAAATTGTCTCGCTGTGAATTAGAAGCTTTTTTGAAGGTCCTGGCTTAAAGAGTAGGGGGTATATAATGCCAACACACTGGTTTTGAGTGAGTTGTGAAGAATTACTTCTTCCGACTTACCGAGTCTAAGCTCTGAGTGTACAGCGAAAATGAGATTAGCCAAGTTTTTGCTTTCACGGAGTTAATGTTTTAGTGAAGAAGATAGGGGGAAAACCTTTTACAGGGACATTCAAAGTTAGTAAGAGGTGATGGAGAGTAGAGGAGGGCTGCTAGATTAGAGGTAGATGGCTTTTAAACTTAAGAGAGTTTGTTGTTGAACAAGCGTAGTAGGTGGCGGGAATAATGAAATTGTTACAGACCGTATAGGCACGGTCAGTAACTAGAGGAGAATTCTCTGGTTCCCATCCTGTCTTTTATCATCACCTTCCAACCCCCACCCCCGTTATTGCAGAGGCTCACAGGACACCTCCACAACAGACACTCTCCACCTTATGTAATCAACCTGGACCCTGCTGTGCATGAAGTCCCCTTTCCTGCCAATATTGGTGAGTGCCTTCAGTTTTCATTTTTTTTTTTTTCTGAACTAGCTAATTCTTTTATTTCCTTTGGATTTGTTCTCTAACAGAGTAGGCTTCTTCCTTATTGAGATTTATCCCTCTCTTTATTCTAATGGTTCCTAAGTTTCATTTCCATTCACCTCTCATTTGTCCTTAGTGTGTGAAACTGTTGTAATTGATTTGAGGATAAGTGACATTAAGCCAGGCTATATATATATATAATTTAGTTTCTTTTGTCAGAGTGTAGTAAGAATTTATGAGTTCTGCTATACACTCTGATTGGTAGGAAGGTCCCGCCTATTCCCAAAGTTTTGTGTGTATGTGTAGTTGAAAATATACAATTTGTCTTTGTCTTGAAAAACAAAACAAATATATGCATTGTTATGAGGAGAATTTCTCACTGAAACTACCAGAAAGATTCAGTATGGGTGTTACTGGCAGAATATAGAGTTCAGGGTCAGTAAGACCCACATAGCCAAACTTTGCTTGTTTGTTGTTGTTTTTCAAAGAAAGAAAAAATGGGGGGTGGGGAGTAGATTCATTATGAAAGTGCATGTGATCCAGTGACAGGGTTCTTGCTGGGTTCAGGCTTCCTGATTCCCAGGTCTAGTAAGCTTCTTATAACCCAAATATACAAATTAATGTGGAGATAGGGGAGGTCTTGTTTGTCTTGTTTGAAGAATCATAGATCATTTGGGGAAGATTGACATAAAGTTTCCCATCCAAATTAGACTAAAACTGTAATAGTGTTCATCTCCACACTGGTGGGTAGGTTTCTTCTTATTTACTTATTTTCATTTTATGCATGTCTTTACACCATGATGTGTCTGATTCCTTCAGAGGCCAGAAGAGGGTGCAGGTACCTTTGGAACTGGACTTACGGGCATTTGTGAGCTATCCTGTAGGTTCTGGGGACTGAATCTGGGTCTTCTGTAAAAGCCACAAGTGCTCTCAATCACTGATTCATGTCTCCAGCCCCAGGTGGATAGGTTTTGATAGATCTTAGTAGACATTTATTTTTTGTATTACCAGGCAGTGGTTAATAAGAAGTCTTTTCTTGGTTTGAGTTTTTTTTTTTTTTTTTTTTTCTTCCCCTGTGCATGTGCCCACTACCATTAAAATTGCCTAAAACGTGTTTCAGACAATATCTGTCATAATTAAGAGCTTCTGCCCTAACTGTTTTGTTAGGGGTCTCTCTATGTAGTTCAGGCTGTTTTGGAACTTGCTTTGTAGACCAGGTTGGTCTCAGACTCACACAGGTCTGCTTGACTTTGCCTCTGCCTTTTGAGTGCTGGGATTAAAAGTGTGCACCATCACATCCAGGAGCCTAACATTCTTTATTGGTTACTCAATGATTATCTTTAGTCAGGAAGGAAGCCATCATAAATGGAGAAAGAGGTAGGTATAAGAAAATGCTGGTAAGAGGCCTAAGTCAGTTGTGGTGGCACTTCTGCGACCTTAGCCCTCAGAAGGCTGAGGACAGCTTGGGCTACATGGAAAGTTCAAAGCCAGTCCTGACAACCAAGACTATACCTCAAAAGATAAAATAAACCATTATCTCTCTTTCCCCTCAGATATCCGTGACACAGTGAAATATAAAGAAGTCATGAAACAGTATCCTTTTCTTCATCTGCTGTGGGATTGACTTGTTCCTGGAGAATTGCTTCCCACTTTGAGGGAGTGGCTTGCATGTCAAATTGCAATATACAAGTAGAAAACGTACTATTAAAAAGATGTAGGATGAGAGATGAATGTAGGAGAGATTAGAGATTTCGAGCAAGATTACCCTACTATTTGATTTCAGTTTCAGACTACAGATGTTGTAATTAGAGAGCAGAAGATGAGTGGTCAGCTGTTAACTGCCTGGGTCCAGTGAAGTGATGTTGCCTTGGTTGAGATAGCCATTGATAACTATGAATTCCACCAGGAAACTCAGGAAAATATGTTGACTTGGATTAATTCTTATGGACTGAGTTCAGCATGACATGTGGCTCTCTGTAAGTTACTTAAGGTTGCTTGGTTAATGAGGACCAGAGTAAAGAGTGTGACACGTAGCCCTGGCTGGCCTGAAATTCAGAGATTTGCCTGTTTCTGCTTCCTGCATGCTGGGATTCAAAATGTTGAGTTACGATGCCTGGTTACTTAGATAATCTTAATAACTGATGCCAGCAGCCTGTCACTGTTTGACATATGTGTATATTCACTACATTTTGATCATGTTGTTGTCTTTATCTTGTATGACCATCCCTAAAACGATGAACAAGGAGGACCTTGCTACTAAATGATTCCTGTAACACTAAGGTTGTATGTCAAAGATTAGATTGCCAGGATTCCTTATTTGAACACGGATACTGTTATATACTGAACATAGTGTTAATACTGAACATAGTGCTGTTGGATGAATGACAGTCTAGGTATGAACTATATAATCTCATATGTGCAACTTAAATCCTTAACTGAGTGCTCAGATATGGACTCGGGCCCAATGGTGGCATAGTTACCTCACTTAATCTCTTTGCTACCAGATTTGATCAGGTAAGGCTCCTTTGTCATTGATAGGCCTGGCACTATAAAAATCTGCCTCTTAATGTGCCCTTGCTTGATCACATTTGTAAAGAGTAGCAAAGATGGAGAAATACTGAAACTAAGCAGGCATTTTGGTAGACAAGAGAAATAGCTCTGGGTGTGGTGGAATATGTCTCATTTATTGTTTGTGAGACAACAAAACAAAAATCCAGGAGACCTGGGTTCTTTCTCTGGTCTCTTATTGGCTTATAATGTTATGAGTGCACAGGGCACTGTGATTAGCTAAAGCAAGGGATGGTGACACTTTCTTCTTCCTTCTTTCCTTCCTTGTTTTGTTTTTTGAGACAGGGTTTCTCTGTGGCTTTGGAGCCTATCCTGGAACTCGCTTTGGAGCCTGTCCTCGAACTCGCAGAGATCCGCCTGCCTCTGCCTCATGAGTGCTGGGATTAAAGGCATACGCCACCAACGCCCGGCTGACAATTTTTCTTATAAGTTTTCTTATAAGGAGTATTTACCGACCATCCTTTAGCTTTTCTCTGTCGCTCCCATGAAGAATCATTATATTTACACGTGTTCTGTGGCTTAAGACATTAACATTTGACTAAAGCCAGACAGGATGGTTTGTATGAGGCTGAAGCAGGAGAATCACACAGGGCTGGAGTCCACAGTATACCTGGATAACGCAGCCTGACCTAGGCTCTTTAAACCAAGCAGCGTGGCCCGTGTGCTGCGGGACCCTGACTTCACAGTGACAGGCCAGGTCTCAATGCTACTACTGTGGCTCTGCTTTTTTCCATCCAAGTGTCCATTGTTTGGTGTCCTCGGGCCGTCTTTTGTGATGGTGCATTTGACACATGCCACCCTGGAGGGTCACCTCCTGTGTTGTGTTAGAATTAGATCCTATTGTAATTGACATCTTTTTCTTCTAGGTGATGAAGTTTATCGAGAAGGCTCAGAACACATTCAAGTAGGTGGTTTCAGCTGACTGCTTATTGATTGCCGGTTGTTGGTATATTTCTAGACTTTTGAGAGGATTTGGAGACCTTTGTTAACTATGTTAACTGAGACGAGTCATTAGAAATGAAAACAGGTGGACAATAAAATGCAGAGGATTACTCCCAGCATCCTCTTTCAGATTAAGGAGGAGGACTTTCTCATTGTTTGAGGGAGCACAGTCTACTATGATGAGGAAGACATTTCATCATTTTTCACTATTGACTATTACTAAATATAAAAGTATATTTATTGAGATACAGTTTACATGCCATCCCAGTGCACAAATCAGTGGCGTCTGTTATGTCCACAGACCTGTGCACAGGGTTGTGTAATTATCACTGCAGTCAATTTTAGCATGTTCTATAGGCAGTGTCCCCCACTCCTCCATTCCCCCTCCTTCCCTCACTCCGATCTTGTCCCCAAGAAGTAGAGTTTCATCCTGGTTTTGCTCATGTCTCATTGGTAGGGTAGTGTTTCTGTGCTGATCATAGTCTCCTCTCTGATTACTGACAATAGTTTGTGCTGTGCTGTTTCTTTTCATTAGCATGAATATTGGGCCTGCAGTAAACTCTTGGGAATATTCAGCTTTAGGGCATGGTAGGACTATTTGGCAGTGTGCAGAATTTATTGCAATCTTGGATAAGCAGACATTGAGCACTCTCTGATGGGATATCTTCAGAATTACCCAAGTATAACACCCCTTTAATCGTTTCCTTGACCCAGATATGTCCTGATTGACACACCCGGACAGATTGAAGTATTCACCTGGTCAGCTTCTGGGACAATTATCACCGAGGCCCTAGTGAGTGTTCTGGGTCTTGTTCATGAACCAATCTGGAGGGTCAGCTCAGCCTCTGTTTATTGCCTGGGGCTGAATGGAAAGGGAGAGGAGAGGCTCTGCATACCCCATCCACAGTGGTTCTCTCTTGCAAGAAAGGGAGGAAAAGAGTATGGGAGCACATGCTGAGTCCTCTGATGAAGACTTTATTCATTCTGTGGTTCTAGGCATCCTCATTTCCAACAGTGGTCATCTATGTAATGGACACATCACGAAGTACTAACCCAGTGACCTTCATGTCCAACATGCTGTATGCATGCAGGTAACTGATGGGTGGTAGGCGTGGTGTTCTGTCAACTATGAGGCCTCTTTCTCTTTTTTTATTTTTTATTTTTTAAAAGACATTTACTTATTTGTATGTGTGTGGACCTGCATGAATATATATGTACCACGTGTGTGCAGGAGCTTGTGGAGGATAGAGGAGGTGGTCAGATCTCTTCAAACTGGAGTTAGAGGCAGTTGTGAGCCACCATGTAGGTGCTGGGAACTGGACCTGGGTCCTCTGTAAAAGCAGTAAGCGCTCTTAACCACTGAGCCATCTCTCCAGCTTTATTTTATCTGACTTTGTTCCTCTTGGTTTTGAGTCCTGGTTATACACCCCTGTGTATATGATTTGTGATCTTCTGTATTTACTACTCAGTTCATTATCTAGTAAAGAGAGACATGTACTGTTGGCATTTCCTCTCAGCATCTTCCTCCCTTTCTTGTCAGAGAAATAGATGGTAATTATTTCTGGATAGGTGAGATCTAAGTCTGGATAGAATAGAGTTTTCTGATGTAAATGGTGCTTAGGTTTTGTGTAAGTAATGTAAAAATGTAATGTGAGGGGATACTAGGAATGAAAAGTTTGTCAAAACCAGCAATGGTGGTACATTCCTATCATCCCAAGTTAGGAGGTGAAGGAGGGCAAATTCAAGGCCGTATAGACTGGAGTAAGACCCTGCCATAGCATTATGAACAATAATAACAGAAAGATTTTAGTTACAATCCAAACATGAACTACTTTATCCTGAATGTTACATTGGAAGAAAAAAAGATACTTCATGGTTCACTGTGAAATCAGACTGAAGTTGACCAAATTTAACTTTGGGAATGGACAAGAGCCATCACTTGTATGCTAGGTCTCAGAGTAAACATCATATTGGATGCAAGAAGTCCTGATCCACATAGATAACATTGTTCCACAATTATGTTAATGAGTACAACACAGCTTCTTGATTATCCTGAGTGTGGTAGTCATTTCACAGTGTACTCATAGCTCAAAATGTCAGAGGACTGGGAATGCAGCTCAGCAGGAGAGGGTGTGCCTGGGTCAGCCAACAGACTTGCAGACACTAAATCAATAAGGAGTAAGGGAAGATCAGCTTTAAGAACAGTTCATGATGCCTGCTTTAAGTATATATAATTTTACCGAGGTAGATGCAGAAATTTTCAACCTGCAGGACAATACTTTTAGAGGCTGAGGCAGGAGAATTACTATAAATTCAAGGCCAGCCTAGACTATATATTAATAAGTTCTAGGCTAGTAGTGTACAGAATGGGACCTTGTCTTTAAAACAAAGCAAAAATTATATACATTTATATGGCATTTGTATGTATTAAAGGAGATTTTATATATATATATATATACATACACACACACACACACACACACACACACACACACTTACTTATGTGAAAGTGTCTACCAGAGTAACTATCCTATTTTGGGTATTCACTGCTTGGATACAAAAGAGAATTGATTGATAAAATGTTAAAAAAGGATCAATATCAACACATGATATGTGTTGGGGGTCAGCTGCTGGCTTGATGTTGGTGGTCATTTGTTTTCCTTTGGGAGAAGAGAATGAATAGCACCTACAATTCAGTCTGAAGATTTCCTTTCTCTTTAATTAGTCCTAAGAGTCTGAATGCCTTAAGTTGTCTTTGGAAACAACTCACTATATGCCCTGACTGGTCTTGAACTCATGAACTTTCTGCCTCTGCCTTCTGAGTGTAATAATGAATTTTTTCCCCCCCTTCAGCATCTTGTACAAAACCAAGCTGCCTTTCATTGTGGTCATGAACAAAGTAAGTGGTGCTTCCTCTGGTGACTTCAGCATGTCTTAACACAGAGCCTTGACTCACATTAGAAGGTCTGGATAGGTGTGAGGAGTGACTTCAAGTGCTGTCAGCACATAAGATTTTACTACAGAAAGTCAGAGGCACATCAGGGAAGTGGATACTGCCAGATGGAATGGGTATTTAGTGCGGCCTCTCCCCCACTGATTGTAGGGCAGACAGAGTAACGGTTAACCTTCAACATCAGGGATTCTGTGTCATTAGAGGAACAGTGTACTGGAAATACTGATCAGACACAAGGCAGATTGCTTAACAGTTTGTTGCAGTGAAGCTGGGAACAGGGGAGCTAGAGAAGAAAATCTGATGTTGAGTTCTTTGCTGTCACTACTTATTTAAATGATTTTGCCTCGGTTTAGTTGTGACCTTGATTCAGGTTGCTGATGGCTGCCTTCTCTCTGGCACAGACTGACATCATTGACCACAGCTTTGCAGTGGAGTGGATGCAGGATTTTGAGGCTTTCCAAGATGCCTTGAACCAAGAGACTACCTACGTCAGTAACTTAACTCGCTCCATGAGCCTGGTGTTAGATGAGTTCTACAGCTCACTCAGGGTAAATTTTAGCTTCTATCGTAGTGATGATAGCTGCAGATAATGTCTTGCCATGGCCTTAACTAGCTTTGAACCAGCATTGGAAGGAGATGCTTTATATTCTGAAAGTGACCTCTGCTGCGTTGCTTAGTGGAAGTAGTTCATGGGCTGGGTGGCAGCTCAGTAGCTGAGTCCTTTGTCCACCATGCAAATTCACACTGCTTCTTGGCAGGTGGTGGGTGTCTCTGCTGTGGTGGGCACCGGCTTCGATGAACTCTGTGTTCAAATCAGCAGTGCTGTGGAAGAATACGAAAGGTGAGGATAAAGGAAAGGCTGTTGATGTGTTCTTCATTACCTACATTTCTCATGGTAGTCGCTTGCATTTACATCTTCTATGTAAAGTCTATCTACTTCCATATGTGTGTTAGACCTGGCCACACTCAGGAGTAACAAGTGTCTGTTCCCTTTTTTAAAAAGATAGAAATGTTCACTGGTCAGAGTAGTTGCCAGGCAGGGAACATCAACTGTGTACTGAAAAGAGCCACTTGGTTGATGTTACAAACTTTGTGGGCAACTTCTCACATCTGTCATTGTAGACCAAAAGTCCTGTAGATAGTTCAGAAGCAAAAGATGGTGGATGTGTCCCTGTAAGGAATTCCCTGCAGAAACAGACATGCTGTGGATCTGGCACTGAGGTTGCTGTATTATTTGAAGAGGTATATGCAAAGTCCCAGCACAGTTATTGACATATCATAGAGACACTTCATACATGTCTGTTACAACTGTTGTCATTGCTGAGAGTGGGACACCATTCACCTAAAGGAGAGCACCTGTGGCACTGGGACCATGACGTCGTGGGCTGCTTGTTAGCTGCTTCACATTCATAGTTTGACCCTATGGATGGCATTGTGGTTGCCAGGCAACATTATTTTCCCACTGATTAACTGTTAAGGTTTTTGTGTGTGTGTTTCCCGGGATCAGAATGGAGTCCATTCTGTTGTCATTCAGGGCCATCACTTCCTTACACTTCCCGAACAACAGCCCATCTTCTTCCCCGTTTCCTTGAACCAGTGGCGAGCACCTCAGCTTCTCAGCTGTGGTGCCGTCATTGTTAGTCTTTACAACAGCAGTCAGGAGTTGTTGGGTTCCTCCGGGTAGACTAGCGATGCCGACAGTGTGCCGGGAACTCCAGTGAGGCTGGGTCTTGGTGGTGGTGGTTTTAGCAAACAAACAATAGGTCCGTGTGGGTGGGGTGGGTTGTCCAGGTGAGAACTTAAAAGGCATTTCTTTCTCCAGGGAATATCGGCCGGAATATGAGCGCCTGAAGAAATCACTGGTAAGAGGGATAGTGTGTTAGAGCTTCCAGAGAGACCATCTGACCCACACAAGGCACAGTCCTGCAGTCCCAGCCAGTCACCAGAGACTGGTCTGCTGTCCTGTGCTTTGATCAGCATTCTGGTAGTAGGGATGAGAAGTAAAGGTTTTTTGACACAGGGTTTCTCTGCCTGGCTATCCTGGAACTCACAGAGATCTGCCTGTCTCTGACTCCCAAGTGCTGGGACAAGGCATGCATCACCACTGCCTGGCTTGTATTTTAATTTTTTTCTGGCTTTCTTGAGATATAATTGACTAATGGAACTTCAGTGTTTCTTTTAAATTCTTGCTTTTTTTTTTTTTTTTTTTTGTTCATTTTTGGTAGTGCTCTACACACTGAATTATGTGCCTAGCCCTGTTTGGTTTGAGTTGAGGTCTCACTGTACCCCAGGCTGGTCTAAAACTCTGGGGCTCTAGTCATCTCTTACCTCAGTCACTTGATCACGTGGGATTGCAGGCATGTGACACCTTCTCCCCCCATAATGACTTGTTCATTGACATTGACATCTGTATGTATGTTGTCTGTATGCAGAAAGGCCTCCTAACAATTTTTCTTTTTACATTTGAATATTTATCCTTTTTCTTTTGCCTCATCCTTCTGAGTGCTGGGATTATAGGCATGAACCACTTTGTATCTGAATTTTTAAAACATCAGGATTTTACTGAAATATATTTACCAAGACCTTTTTATGCCCCACCTTACTCGGTCTCTGAGATAAATTTAAAGGCTTGGATGATTTTTGAGATTAGAGCGGCATGTCACAGCTCTTGTCCTAAATGGTACATTGAGGCTCTCCCATTGTTAGAGCCTGCACTGGGGCTTTTGTCACAGGGCCTTGTGAGCGCCACTTGAGGCTTCTTTGGTCATGGTTTTGGGTTTTCATTCAGCATACACCTGGAAATCTGCTGTCACTTGGGCCCACATGACTCATTGGTTTTGTCTCCATCTGTCACTCTCTACCAGTCTCTAGTACTTTTGTAATTCCTAATCTCGTCTTTAAAGAGTGGCATTTTGGGATTGGGGACTTTAGCTCTGTTGAGTGTCTGCTTAGCATGCACAAAACCTTGGGCTTATTCATTCTTTAGCAACCAAGCATGGTGATGGACCCTTTTAAGTTTAGGGTAATCCGTAGTTACATAATGAGTTTGGGGGTGGCCTACAGTACATGAGACCCACCTTAAAAAAAGCTGGCATCTAATTTATGCGTCTTTACTGTTTTGCTTTATTCATTTATTTATTTTTGCTGGAGATTGAACTAGTGCTTCACATCTGCTGAGCACTCAACATCTCAGAGATGCATGTGGAGGTCATAAGACAACTTGCAGGAGTTGGTTCTCTCCTATCACGTGGTCTCCACCAGTGGGATTTAGGTTGTCAGGCATGGCTGCAACGTTTGCACCGCTGAGCCATCTCACCAGCCGGGATCTTCCAGTTTAACCTGAGGACATCTCCCCTGTCTGTAGGTGACTGCTCAGAGGGATCAGCAGAAGGAGCAACTGGAGCGCCTTCGGAAAGATATGGGCTCTGTAGCCCTGGACCCAGGGACCAGCAAAGGTATTGGAAGGGCTCTTGGCATTAGGGTGGATCCCCTATCGGTAATATATGTGTAAATGAGAAAGAATGGGTGGGAGGTGGGGCACATACATCATGGATCCCTGTAAGTGACCTGGGACTGTAAAAGTACTTAAGGATGGTGTACACTTTATGCTGCTCTGAGTTTCTTTTGGAAGTTTTGTATTATGGCAAGGCACTCTAGCTTTTATTTATTTTTTTTTATGGTGTGTTATAACTGAATTTTAGGCATTATTATGCAAAAATGATGCTCTTATTTTCAATCCTATGTATACTTCCTAAAAAATGAAGATATTGTAGAACCTTAGTGTAGCCTAGCCTGTGATGCACACCTTTAATCCCAGCACTGGGGAGGCAGAAGCAGGTGGATCTCTGAGTTTGAGGCCAGCCTGGTCTACAGAGTGAGTTCCAGGACATCCAGGGCTATATAGAGAAACCCTATCTCAAAAAACAAAACTTAAAAAAAAAAAAAAAAAAATGAAAAAAAAAAGCAAAAACAAAAACCAAGAAACACCCAAACAAACAAACAAAAAACCCCAAACCAGAAACAAAACCTCAGTACAGTTAGGAAAAATGTTGAGTTAGCATGGACACACTATTGTCTAGTAGAGGGTCTTACCTAGGTGTGGCTGTTTGCCTTCAGAGCAGACTTAGCTCATCAGGTTTGGGATGAGGGCCCTTATCCACTGAGTGGTCTGGCTGGCCCTGGACTTGTGTTTAGTCTGATGCTTTCTTTCCTTTCATGCCTGCACATGCTTTAATTACAAAGCCCTTCAGTGTCTGCTCGGGTCTAGTCCCCCTGTACTGTTCCCTCTCTCTGGCTATTCTTACGTTTGCTTTTCCACATGGGCCTAGGGGAGTGTCTAGGATATACTCATATTAAATAATACATACCCCATGGGGTACACAGATTGCGTGATAGTTAAGAGCATTTATTGCTCTTGCAGAGAACCTGGGTTCAGTTCCCAGCACCCACATGATGGTTCATAACCACCCACTCCAATTCCAGGGGCTCCAACACTCTTTTAACTCCATGGGCACCAGGCTTACATATGGTTCATAAACATAAGTGTATGCCAAACACTCATACACATAAAAGTAATGTGTAATATATAAATATTGTGTATAAATCTATTATGTGTGTGTGTGTATTCATGCCTACCCAGGCAGGCTTTTTTGATGAACATAAGTGAACAAAGGTCACAAACAGATGCTTCTTTCTTTTAATAAGGTACCTGAGAAAAAAAAATGGTTGCTATATGAAGAAAAAGAACTCAAGTATATAATTTATTGCCATATTGCCACAATAAATACAAAAATAAAATGGAACTTATATATTAATAAAATTAAATTCATCTATTTGGTTTCTGAGTTGCAACAATTTTCTTTCTTTTTTTTTTGGGGGGGGGGTTTCGAGACAGGGTTTCTCTGTGGGGCCTGTCCTGGAACTCGATCTGTAGACCAGACTGGCCTTGAACTCATAAACATCTGTGTGCCTTTGCCTCCCGAGTGCTGGGATTAAAGATGTGTACCACCATGTCTGTTTGGCCGCTGAGATTTGTTTCTCTCCCGGTTACTGCCTTCAGCTCAACTTACACCCCTCCCCAGCTGAGCTCCGCAACTTGACAGTCTCTCAGTGGTCAGTGGTCGCATCGTCCTATACATTTGGTCCCACTGAGTCTGTGACAGGAATTTCTGGATCAGACTTTCTTCTCATTCTTAGGCTGAGTCCTTATTCACTGAGGAGGGAATATTACCTCTAGTAGTGTATTTGATCTCCCTTCCTCCCCCTTTCCACTGCCTGAGGGTTGCCACTGCTGCTCTGTTCTGTATCTTTTCACCCTGTTTTTTCTTCAGACCTCCCCTGAACCTGTATCCTACCTAGAAGCTTCTACAGTGTTTAAACAGTTGCCAGTGTGCAGCCTTATAGTTCTTTATCTTTCATCAGGAAAAACATAGCTACTTCCAGTCTAAGAGATAGTGAAGCAGAGTGCTGGTGTGTCAGGGGTATGTTTCTCATGTTTTCCTCAGTGGAAAGAAGGGGGCTTCTGAAATTGCTTTGTGAACTAGGCCGTGACAGAAATGACAGGTACAGTCAATGATACCCTTAGAAGACTCGCTCCCCTGCCTGTCTGTCGTCAGGAGCACTCTCATGCTGCCAGCGGATAATCATAATTACTCAGAATCAGTTCTTTGAAGACACATCTGTATTGATTCGTGTTTTAACCCCAGACAGTCTGTCTCCTGCGCTGGACCCTTCTGACTTGATCCTGACTCGAGGGACCTTGGATGAAGAGGATGAAGAAGTTGAGAGTGACACTGATGACATTGACCACAGAGGTGAGAGGTAGCTGATGGAAAAAAAGCAGCACTGGGGCTGACATGGTTGAGACTTTGAAGATCCTGGGCCTACGGTCAGGGGCAGGGAGGAGGAGATGGGAAAGCATGTGGTCCCAGCAAAGTTTCCTACATGAAGGGTTCTGGCCTTGCTAGGTGTTCTAATTTCATTCCTCCATCATTATGGAGAAATCAGAGCAGGGGCTTCAGACTGCTGGTCCTGTCACATCCACAGTCACGAGCAGAGGGCAATGCATACATGCAGCCTCACTTGTTGATTGGTTGGTTGGTTGGGGGAATTTTTGTTGTTTTTCTGTTTTGTCTTTTCTCTGTATATCCCTGACTGTACTTGAACTCACAGAGATCCACCTGCCTCTGCCTCCTGAGTTCTGGGATTAAAGGCGTGCACCACTATTGCCTGGCCAGCCTCACTTGTTTATATGAGATCAGCTTGGTTTTCCACTCATACAGTTCAGGACCCCAGTCTAGGAAACACTCTACACACAGTGGGCAGGCTCTTCCCCCAGTACCATGCCTTTTATGTCTTGTAACTTCTGACTCCATCTGAGATGTCACCATTTCTGTCTGTTACTGCTTTTTGGTTAATTGGTGATAAGGGTGTATTCCAGGATCTCTTGCTTGCTAAAAGTATGTGCCTCTGAGCTACATCTGGGATTGTTAATGTTGGTTTTGTTATTGTTGTTACTTGTTTGTTTCTCAAGACTGAGAAACCTGTACTGGAATTTGCTATGTAGACCAGGCTGGCCTCAAACTCATAGAGATCCACCTGCCTCTACCTCACAAGTGCTGGGATTAAAGGCTCGCTCCACCACCACCTGGCAATGTTGGGTTTTTAAAAAGATATATTTATTTTTACTTTATGTATGACATTGTCTTGCCTTCATGTGTGTGTGAATGCCTGGTCCCTGTAGAGGTCAGAAATCCCCTGGAACTAGAGTACAGATGTTGTAATCCACCATGTGGGTGCTGGGTACAAAGCCGGGGCCTCTGCAAGAGCAACAGATGCTCGTCACTGCTGAACCACCTCTCCAGCCCCTGAGTGTTTTGTTTTGAATATTTAACAGTCTAATGTGCTGGGTCCCTACTTTATTCCCAGCTCTTGGGTGGTTGAGGCAGTAGGTAAATCTACTACAGATATTTTTGTGTCTCTTGCCTACCTGAGTAGACCTCAGTTTGGTTATTTACTTACATGCTGCATGTTTTGGCAACTTGATAAATAAGGCATGCTACTGGAATCCATTTCATTAATGAAGGGTGTGAGTACTTAACACCTTAAAAGTAGTTTTAGCCAGGTGTGGTGGGACATGGCTGTAACTTCAGTGGTGGAGAATGAGGCAGGAGGACTAGGGGTTCCAGGCCAGCTTGGGATCTAGAGTGAGTCCCTGTCTTGAAAGGTGAAAGGTAATTTTAAGATGTGGTTTCTGACGGGCGTGACAAGAGCGCTGATTCTCTTGTCGTACCGTACCGTGAGGGTTTCAGAAGAATTGCCCCTTCCTCTTGCAGTCACAGAGGAAAGCCGCGAAGAGCCGGCCTTTCAGAACTTCCTTCAAGAATCGATGGCACAGCACTGGAACAGAAGCAAGTAGCCGTCCGTCCCTCTTGTTGCCAGAGTCTGACGTGCTGGCTCATGCACAGAAGCCCTTGCTGGGAGGCAGTCGAGCAGTTTCCTTCAGGGTACTAACTCTTTTGGGGGAACCTGGACTGAGATGAAGTCATGGTTGAAGGTGGAGCTGGCAGGTGGGTGCCCATCCTTGGTTAGCTTCTCTCAGTATTTATGCAAGGAAGTGTTTTCTCACCGCTCTGGAAGCTGATGAGTGAAATTTCATCTGCATTATTTGAACTCAAGTCCTTTGCTGCTGCTGAGGCAGGAGACCTTCTACTGAAGATGACTAGGCTGGCCTGGACTCAGCTCTTCAGCACTGTGCTCTTGGCTCTGTACCCCAAGTTGCTGTTCTTTAATCAGAATGGGTCAGAATGGGAGGGGGAACGGATGGAACAGACGGGCGGTACTGTGCCCTAGGCAGCCATGCTGATGAGATGTGCTCGCACGAGGTAACACATTCTAAAGAATCCTGTTTGAATGGTGACTTGGATAAAGTTTTTAACTTTAACTTTGTGTCATGATTTTAAATTAGAAATTATGTGATCATTAGTCGATTCAGCACTGTTAGTTACAACAGAGCTTTAAAGGCAGGTCTGGTGGGATGTAATGCGTAGTTTAATTTCCCATGTCCATTCATCTACCAGGTCCAAAACCATGTCCTATTTATATCGTACTTAGAACAATATAAATCATTGTTTATGACCATAGGATTCGACTAGGCGTCCTTTCACTAATATGTTAACTAGAAGGGTTCACCCTGCTTCTCTGGACCAGAAGATCATCAGCCAGGAAAATTTTACTGATACATCTCCAAATTGGCTTCCCTGGAATGGGGTGGGTGCTCAGCGGGCTGTTCAGTAAGTCCTCCAGGTGACTGTGGTGTGTTCTGCTTTCAGAACACCGTTCCAACTCCTATGATGTAATCCCAGGCTAGAAGAATCAACTACCAAACCTTTCAACTCAGCCTTTTCTTGTTTGGTGCTTGTTCTCCAGTTTTACTTCAAAGTAGCACAGAATTTTATTTTACCTTTAATTATTCAGTATTCTATACCTAGTGGGAAACAATGATATAAAAATCTGAGCTTTTTCTTTCCTCTTTTAATGGTCCTGCCCACAGTCATGACCATTGTGCAAGTCTTTAATCCAAGCATTTGGGAGGCAGAGACAGGTGGGCTTCTGTGGGTTCAAGACCTGTCAGGGCTACATAGTAAAACCCTGTCTTAAAGAGAAAGAAAAAATAGAACATATCTGTATATCCCAGACCACCTCTGCCTCCTGTGTGCTGCATTTATAGGGTTGGGCCATCATACTTGCTTGACCTATTTAAGGGGGAACCATTTGCAAAGCAAAACCCTTGTAAGGAGTACAGGTTTTTCCCGCCCACTGCCTGGTCTTGTCCCGCCGCCGCGCCAGCCCCAAATAACACACAGAGACTCTATATTTGATATTATACTGTTGGCCAGTTACTACTTTCTTATCGGCTAGCTCTGTCTTAAGTATTAACCCATTTGTGTTAATCTATGTATTTCCATGTGGTCTTCTTACCCGGAGCATACTGCTCTCTCCAGACTCTCCATCTTGACTCCTCTTTACCACTTCCTATTTCCTCCTTGTCTCCTAGTCCTCCTATCTTCCTTTCCTATTGGCCAACAGTGCTTTATTATTAACCAGTATGAGAAACATAAACAGAATGACCTCTCCCATCATCTCCTCTTTTCTGTCTAAATAAAAAGAAGGGTTTTAACCTTAACATAGCATAATATATTATACAACAGTTATCAAGTAAGAATCACAGTTAACAATATTTAGTCCATTAACATTTAGCAAGATTTGAAGAAAATATTCCATCATCTATTCTATCTTTGTGTGTCTAAAGTCTAAGTAACTTATCTTTAATCCTAACTAATGAGAACTATAACCATAACTATCTGTCTTCAACTCCTTCAAAGACCACAGAAGGATAATATATAAGCTCTAGAAATGACAACAGAGACAACTCACTGCCTGGTCACCCGAAGTTCTTTTGTAATCTTCCATCTTCAGCCCATAGGCCATAGTGTGTCTGGCAGACTCTTCAGCAAAGCAGGAAACTTTAAACTGTCTTCTTGTATTGGCAGTTTGTCAGTCACTTTTCTCTGTGTCCTGCAGACTGTCTGGCAGACTCTTCCATGAAGCAGGACTGTTGCAGCAATATCCATCTTGAATCAGCAGTCACTTTTCTGTGGGCCCTGCATGTCCAGTTTATACAGCATAAAGTCAAACAGTCCAGACAAGAGCAGTATCTTGTCCAAATGGCTAGTCTTGCCATATTGGAAGTAAACTCCATAATGAGTTTCTTCAATGTCCATCTTCCTTTCTGACGCAGGTGGTGTTGCCAGGAACAATTATGTCTCATTGTCAAGAAAAACCCTAAACCATTTTAAATGCCATATTCTGTAGATCTTTGAAAGGTTTGAAGAATGCCTATTCATCTCAAATACATCACTGTATATCTAGAAAACCTAACTAACTTAACTATAAGTTTTGACTATTATAGGTAACTATCTATAATCTGCACAAAATTATACATTACATTTCTAACTGAGCTATATAAACACAATACCTAAACAAGAGAAATTTAGATATCACAAAATTGACCTTAAATTGTATCAATAAATGAAAATCCATTCCAAAATGAAGTATTCATATCTATACCATAATCCCCTTTTTACCTTTAAAAAGAGATTGGTTGTGGTCATTAACCATTTATAACCAACCCCATATATATGAAAACAAACATTTATAAACAATATATGGGAATTTGGGCGTTGTTCTTTCCAAACTACTTCCTGCTGGTAAAGGGCGCTGTCATGGGGGAATCCTAAGAAGACGCAGAAATCTTGGCTGTAGTCTGCAAGGCTGCTTTGTTGAGCTGTTTTGAATGTAGGATCATCTGGTACTCTGTTTCAGGGGGTCTGGCTTGATCAAACCACATTAGTCTGGAAGGAATCACAGCTTTTCATTTTCTGTGGAAACAAAAATAGAAATCCTTTTCCCCAGTAACTTGTCCTTAGACTTAAATTTTTGAGTCAAAGCATTTTTAAAATATATAAGTTGAATTAATGCAGCAGCATTTCCTTTATCAGTTGTTATTTTCTCAGCAGTCAAACAATGCAGAGACAACACAATAGCATACCGTAACCAGATTCTCTCTGAGCTTTTCATCTTTATGTGGCTTTATTATTACTCTGTTTCTTTTACTTTTTATTTTTTATTTTTTGAGACAGGGTTTCTCTGTGTAACTCTTATCTGTCCTGGAATTTACTCTGCAAACCAGGTTTACTTTGAAATCACAAGAGATCTGCTTGCCTCTGTCTCTCAAGTGCTGGGATTAAAGGTGTGTGCCACCACACCCAGCTGTTCTCTGTCTTTTTAAAACCATTTCATTTTTTTCCCCCATGTCTACGTATATTTTAAAACACAATGTAACCCTTTAGAGGTTTTTCTTAATGTGAATCTGTCTTTACTGTAAATCTTTATCTTTGTCTGGCCACAAGTCTTTATCTGGTAAACAACAACATTGCTAAAATGAAATTCATAGTTGTTTCTGCTGAGGTTTATCAATCATGGCGGCGGCTATTTTACCGCCAGCACTGAAAGGTGTGCTCACTGCCTTTGCCTGTGCTGCCCTCCAGCCCCATGCTGCCGGCTTGGAGATGTGGTCACTGTCATTGCATGCTCTTGTACACACCAATAAATTGTTAGCAGTGCTTTTTTAAAGCCCTGCGGTTTTTTACCGCTTATGCTGAGTCAGGAACCTTCCCTTAAAGGAGCCTCGCAAATATCTGCTTGTCTCTCGCAAAGCAGAGTCCAACCGAGAAAAATGCTGTTAGTAAGAAGCCTTGCTTGTTTCTGTTCTTTTGTTTCTAAAACCCTTTTTTAAGCTTTTGTTAAATTTTAAGTGGAAGTTCTTACTAGCCACGTGGGCGCCATCTGTAAGGAGTACAGGTTTTTCCCGCCCACCACCGCGCCAGCCCCAAATAACACACAGAGACTCTGTATTTGATATTACACTGTTGGCCAGTTACTACTTTCTTATCGGCTAGCTCTGTCTTAAGTATTAACCCATTTGTGTTAATCTATGTATTTCCATGTGGTCTTCTTACCCGGAGCGTACTGCTCTCTCCAGACTCTCCATCTTGACTCCTCTTTACCACTTCCTATTTCCTACTTGTCTCCTAGTCCCTCCTATCTTCCTTTCCTATTGGCCAACAGTGCTTTATTATTAACCAGTATGAGAAACATATACAGAATGACATCTCCCATCAAACCCTGAACATGCTAGTCTCATCTTCATGGCCTCCTCTTATCCATTTCTTTCTTAAAATGTTACTTGCCTGTCCTGCTGTCGGCTCTATAAGGGTCTGGTCTTTATGACACTTGTATGAGATATATATATATATATATGGATGTGCTTAGTGGATGTTTCCCAGCTAAGTAAACTAACACTTTTCATACACCCACTGCCTATTGGCTACCTCATTCATGAAAACAAATATCAAAACAGGATAGGTTTGAAGAGTGTTAAGGATTAATTTGCAAGTGTATAAAACATTAAAAAAAAATGTATAATTTCAGGAGGCAGAAGGACTGCAGGACACCAGGCTAGGGTACATGATGTGAATGTCTTTAAATACCCGGAAACTGGGATCGTTCAGTGGGTTAAAGGCACCTGCTATGCCAACCTGATGCCATGTGTTCAGTCCCTGGATCCCATGTGGAGGTAGGAGAGAACTAACTGCACAGTGTTGTCTCTGGCCTCTCCATACATGCCCCCACATGTATCATGCACACGTGTACATAATAAACCCTGAAACACGGAGCTCACCCCAATCTTGGTTTGGCATTTGAGGATGGAAACACACCTATCCTTTGGCTTAAACTCTGTTACCAGTTGATATCAGTGCTGTGCTTGACTTTCACAGGAGCTTATTGCAGTGGGCATCAGTCAGTACAGAAACTGTAACTGGCCAGAGTGTAGAGAGCGATGGTGAAATGCTAATTAAGACATCTATACCACCCCTACCCCATGCCCAGGGAACATCATATAAGGGGGGGGGGGTGGGAAGAATTTAAGAACCAGAGGATGGGAGATGTACTGCAAAAAAGATAACTTCTGGATATGATGTAGTCACTTCATTCATGAACTCTGCAGCAGTGGTTATTTATCTGTATGAGATCTGCACAAGATAGGCCTACCAAGGCTTCATCGTGATGAGAGGACACCCTTGAGGCCTCATCCCTCAGAGGGCCTTTAGGGAGGGGGCATCCTTTGTCTCAGTGAGGTAGCTGCTGCTAAGTTGTTCTTGTTCCATTAAATTCTCACCCACACTTGAGGCGTGGTAAAAACTCTGGGTCACACACACAGATATGAAAGAGGGGTGGGGGGAATCTTGTTCCAAAGAAGGGAAACAATGCACATGTATGAAATGGTTAGAGAATTAAATAAGAACTAGAATAACTCAAATGACTTAAAAAATAATTTATTTGTTGTGTGCACCCAGGCATGCACCATGGCATGTGTGTAGACAAAGGACCACGTGGACAAGTCAGCCCTTGTTGTCTTACACTGAACTCAAGTCGCAAGTGCCTTCACCCAGAGCCATCTCTCTGGCTCCTCAAATGTCTTTTTATTAAAACAACAAAACAAACAAGAACAACCTGAAACAAACCAAAGGCTGCCCATCCAGCAACTGTAGAGGGTCCTGTTTGCATCCTTCACAAAGGAGAAAATATTTGAAAATCAGTATCAGGGGGCTGGAGAGATGGCTCAAGTTAAGAGCACTAACTGCTCTTCCAGGGTTCAATTCCCAGCAACCACATGGTGGCTCACAGCCATCTACAATGAGATGTGGTGCCCTCTTCTGGCTTGGAGGCAGAATGCTGTATACATAATTAGTAAATTAAAAACAAAAACAACAAAACTTTTTGGGCAGCCGTGTTGCACACCTTTAATCCCAGCAATTGGGAGGCAGAGGCAGGTGGATCTCTGAGTTCAAGACCAGCCTGGTCTATAAGAGCTGATTCTAGGACAGCCTCCAAAGCCACAAAAAAAAAAAAAAAAAAAAACAAACAAAAAAAACCCTATCTTGAAAAACCAAAAAAAAAAAAAAAGAAAGAAAGAAAGAAAATGTATGTAGAATGTACACTGGAAGTAGAGTGTCTGAGTGTGGAGGTGAATAACCTAGGACATCGAGAAGTGTGGGAAGAGCTGTCTCATAAGGAGAACGGCTGTCACCACAGGCCTCATTTTGTAAGAGGCCTGAGTAGCAAAAATAGTTTTGGAACATGACTTATGATAACCTTTGTTATGCTTAGCTATTTCCTGCATTACTACTGATCCCCAGTGACTTGATCCAGAATAAATTGATGAAAACCTGATGTCTATAATGGCATATTTAATGTGAATCTGCAAGTTTTGAAGTTTAAGCAAAACATCTCAGATTCGGGCTTCTGCAGGGACATTAGAATACATGATTCTTCTCAACTGAGATGGCTGAAGGAGCTAAGAAACGTGTGTTTTCCCACAGTAAAGAAACAGCTGGAGACAGTGCTTTGGTCTGATTACTGCCAATATCACAATCGTCTGTGAAAAGTGGCTGAGTTGTTCTGAAAAAAATTACAAAAATCGATTCTAAAGTGAAATGTAACTAGGCTAAGAGCCTTTTCTCTGAAATTAGGAGAGCCCACTGTGTTTAAGAATTAGAATCCAATCACTATTTATGGAAACACTCCAAATATAAAGATTTCCTGCTGATGTTGTAGGTCTGGACTGGAAGTGTCCTTTGCAGTTAAATCTTCCTCATCTTCTTCTTGCAGCGCTGGTTGAAAACAGGGGAGGACCCCATGAGGCTGTCAGTGGAGTGGGAACAATAGCTGCTGTCTGAGTCCTCGGGGCTCTGAGGGATCCCAGCTTCACTAATGCCTGACATTGGTTCCTCAAAGACGTCGCTGCCCAACACGCCGTGCCCAGACACATTGCCTTCCTCACTTTCTTGAGGTTCCATTTTCACATGAGCCAGGTTCCACAAAGGGGAAGCATTTACCTCTGCACCTGGGAGGAAGGGAAAGAGCATGAACCCCATGCTGAGCCAGAGAGCAACTGGATACCCATCCAGGGCTGACGAGTGTCCTCTGTGCTGTTCTCATAGTTCTAAACATGGACTGAGGATGTCACTCCCACTTTTCATCTTCCTGTCCTTCACCATACCCACCCTCATTTTCTCTATACTAGGAGAGAAAAACTGGGTGGAAAATTATGTTCAAAGGTAGGCAGAGTTCCAGGCCTTGCTCAGGTATTTTATCCTGTCCTTCGTGTGTGTATGTGTCCGTGTGCGCACGTGCGTGTATTACACAAATAAGCTTGTAGGTATGTGTGCTCATCCCTATGCATGCAGAAGCCAGAGAAGTTTTATTGCTCTCTTATTGCCTTGACCTGGAATGTTTCTCCAAGGCTTGCTGGCTAGCAAGCTTTTAGGATCATCGGTGTCCATTTCCCACTGTTAAGATTACAGGCACACATAGCCAGCCATACCTTTTACATGGTTGTTGTGGATTCGAACTCAGGTCTTCATGTTTGCACAAGTTCTCTTATCCACTGGGCCATCTCCCTAGCTCCCTTTCCGTCTTTTCATGGGGTGGTCTTATTTTCCTGCCTTTTGAGAATCTGGGCCTCTTCTGCATTTTGAAGACTATGGTCACTACAGGATGCTGACATCAGTTCCCTGCTTGTCCTTCCTGACAAAAGACATGGTCCTTGATGTCCTCTACCTCTCTGTATTCTGGTAATGCAGCTCTGCTGTTAACTGTCACCTCTTCCTTGGTAAAAAGCCTCTCTAACACTGGTGTCATTTTGTTTGGGTCACATTTGAGGACTTGATATTTAAATTTCTTATGCATTTATGTTTGTAAACAAGTATCAAAACTAATTTGCAATTTAACTGACTGGGGTTGTGAAACAGGCAGTGTGTGATAGAGTACAGGAATCCCAGCAGGAGGGAGGCTGAAGCAGAACTTGAATTTCTGGCCAACCTAGACTATATCTCAACAACTAAACAAATATAATTGCCTAAAAATAAAAAAGTAGCGAGCAAAAGTTGTCCAGGTTCCTAATGTCATCACAATCACAGCTATAACCTACAGGAGACCAGCTCATTCAAACAGGGTAGAACAATTCCATTCCCTTGTCTATAATTTCTTGGATGTCTCTATCAAGGAAATAGCTACTTAAACCCGAGTGTATTGTACAGGATTCACCACAGCCCTGTTCCAGCTACTTTCCTTCTGCCCATGCAAGTATGATTCTAAAGTGTCGGTAAGTGTTCAGATGGACAGAACTAGAACCAAATGAATCCCCTTTGTTCCTTACTGGAAGCCTGTGGTGAAGCCTCCACTTCCAGGTTGGATGGGAAGCGCTCACTCTGAGCCCCGAGGACTCCAATGGGTAAGGACTGGTCTCCAGAAGCAAGGTCAGCTTCCAGCTCCTCACTGACAGGAAACGTGATGTCACTCACAGGTTCCTCTTTGATCTTCACAGGTTTAGTGTCTTCTGTGGCCTTCTCAGGATTGACAATCCTTTCATATTCTTCGGAGAGCTGCTTACTAATCTGTTGGCAAGCAAGAGTTAATTTTCCAAGGATATTTTAGAATTAGATTGGATAGTCAACTTGTGGTAACCCAAGGAGAACCCGCAGAGTACAAGTTCACAGATGGGCTGCACTTCTGTTTGTCTTTATTTTTGGTGTGTGTGTCCGTGTGCATGTGTGAGCATGTGTATATACACATGTGTGTATGTGTGGTGTGTGTGCATGTGCACACATGAGTACATGTGTATGGAGGTCAAAGATTCACCACAGTTGTCTCTTGTCAGGTGCTTTCACTTTTTGTTTGAGAAAATGAACTCCAGGAATCCCCCTGTCTCCTTCTGTCTCACCATCGCTGAGATTTCAGGTGTGTGCCACTACACCTGGCTTTTTCACTGGCTCTGGGGATCTGAATCAGTTCCTCACGATTTTAAGAAAAACACTTTACTGAGCCAGCCTGAAAGATGAATTTCAAAACTTCTACTGCTAGGGCTGGCATGCAGGTCAGTGGGAGTGCATGCTAGGGTATGCAAGGCCGGGCATCCCCGGTACCACTAGCATCTCACTGGACCAGTGTAAGGGCAGAGAAACAGCAGGTTATGAGAAAAGGGGGTTAAATTCACTCAGCTCCAAGTCCCTGTGTGCTGAGCTCCAGAACATGTAGACTGCAGAACACTCCCAGACTACGACATCACTTGCCCACTTCTCCCGGGTTACCTCACCTGCAGCATGTAAGTGTGATAGTCCTTGATGCGGTGCTGCCAGAACTTCTGCAGGGAGAGCATGCTGCCAATGCCCACTTCATGGAACACTTGCTCCATGACATCTGGGAAAGGAGTCTGTCCCAGCATGGCCTCCCGGTCCACGGCAAAGCGCAGCAACTTGGTGAACTTAAGGCAGTACTCATGTGCTACGTCAGTCAGGGTCTCCAGGACACTTTCATTAGCACACTCGAAGCCTGCATGGGCCAGGATTGTGGCCACTGCTTGGTAGAGGAGCTGTCGACAAGAATGCCAGCTGAGTTCAGTCACCGGTTCTCCTTTTCCGCTGCAAGTGGAGACATGGCAGTGTTATCCGTGTACTTGCCAAGGGGTGACCAACCTGTCTCACTGGAGTTTTATAGTTCCAGTAATTCCTGGCCCAGTTTTCCAGGGAAACAGTCACTTTCATCTTGCTCTTCTCAGGGTGTGTACCAGCCACCCAAAATCATAGTCCTGAGCACCTGCCCCCAGTTACACAGTTTGAATAGGTAAAGCATGTCTAAAATAGGAAGTACAGGAGAATAAGATATCAGAACTGGAGTCACACAGCTGTGAGCCATCATGTAGGTTCTAGGAACACAACCCCGTTCCTCTGTAAAAGCAACAAGTCTTCTTACCCACTGTGTTATCTCTCCAACCCCCTCTGAACATTTCCTTCCGCCCTTTCTTGTTTTGTTATTTTTTTCAAGACAGGGTTTCTCTGTGTCACAGCCCTAGCTATCCTGTAACTCACTCTGTAGACCAGGCTGGCCTTGAACTCAAAGAGATCCACCTGCCTCTGCCTTCTTAGTGCTGGGATTAAAGGCGTGCCCCATCACCGCCCAGCCCTCTGAACATTTCTTAATTGCCTTCTGCCTCCCTCTGGCAAAGAAACTTATTTTGTAAATAAAAATATAAAGCAAAGAAAATCGCTGTTCTTTGATTTAAGTCACCCACCCTGTAGAAGGTGGGTGCCTGAAGAACCCCTCATGCATTTAACTATTATCTACTCAATAGCAACATCACAAGTTATGGACAGTTGAAAAAGAAGACAGCAACTAACTTCATTTAATATGTCCATGGGCAGTCTATCTGGGCCAAAGGGCATCAGAAGTGCTAATTAACTAATTTCTATCACTTAATTTGAGCAATATATGGACTTTTGTTTTTTCACTTCTAGTGTTGGGTCCTAACTCAGGGCCTGCACATGCTAACAATACTCTACCACTGAGCTACATCTATAGCCTGTATATGGACCTCTTTAATAATGTTTTGGTACCTTGTAGCTAGTATAATTACTTTCTTATATCTTAAACTATGTATAACCCCCCCCAATATGTATAAAACAAACTAGGTTCAAACTCTATGTGTATCTGTGAGTGTGTGTGTAGAGGCCTGATACGTGTGTATGTGTACACAATGAATGTAGAGGCCTATGGTGTCATTCCTAAGGTACTGACCAGTTTTGTTTATGAGATAGGATCTCTCACTGAACCTGCAACTTGCTGATTAGGCTATGGTTCACTGATTAGGCTAGGCTGGCCAGCTGTACCAGGGATCCTCCCCTCTCTGCCTTTCCACACTGGGACTACAATCATGAACCACTGTGCCCAGCTTTTTAACTCAGGTTCCCATGGTAAGCATTTTACTGACTAAGCAATTTCCCTGGCTACTGTCTTGTATTATTTTGAGGAGGAGGGGGAGCGGGTTGAAACAGGGTTTCTCTCTGTTGCCCTGGCTGTCCTGGAACTCACTTTGTAGACCAGGCTGGCCTCAAACTCACAGAGATTTACCTGCCTCTGCCTCCCGAGTACTGTGATTAAAGACATGCACCACCACTGCCCAGCCTTCCTTGTATTTTAAGGCAGGGTCTTTTCCTAGGCCTGGAGCTTACCGAGTGGGTTTGCTGATTGGCTAGAGAGCCTCAGCTCTCTAGAAAGCTATCAAGAAAAACTGTAAGACTGTAGTAATACCATGAATTTAATAATGAGCAACAACATTGTGTGGAATGAAACTACATTACCCTCAACAAATGTGGATGTGGATTACGGTGCAGACTATCACAGGCCTCCTCTTTCCTTATTGCTAGGCTCTGTTCTTCTTACCTTTGATGTATCAGTGTATTATTTCACTTCTAGTAAAATGTCTGGCTCTAATAGGCATTAAATGTTTATTGTATTAGAAAATTAAAAAATACAGACTAGATTCTGAAGATTTGGACTAACACTCGCATTCCACTAATGTTAATAAGCCAATCACTCATCCTCGGTTTCCTCATGTACAAGTGGAAGAGTTCCTTTAAGCTTAAGAGGATCACGGGGAATAGGGGTGGGGCTCGGACACATTTAAGAAAAGTAACATAGCAACACTTTGTCTTACCGATAAAAGTCACTCTCTGGATCACTGTGCCGGATCTGGAACGGTGCATTGGGATTTTTACAATCTAAAGGCTGGAGGTCATCAGGGAGAGGAGGTGACCCAGGGCAGGAGGGAAGAGGTTCATTCTCTTCAGCCTTTACACCTTCGGTCTGTTGATGACTCTGGGTCTGAGCTGTGGCAATAAGGTTGCGAAGCCGTCGGTTGTGCTGGATCAACTGAATGGTGTGAATGGTGAGGCTGCACGGCTCTGAGGGGATGTCCAGCACAGTGGGGGGTTTGGGCTTGTTGGCTGAGGGTTGGTGCAGGGGTGGGTCATGGACTTCCACCAGGCGGAACTCCCGTGGGAGCAGATCAAAGGAACTTCTGTTGGTCTGTCCTGATGGGATTGGTATCTCTCCCCAGTATCTCAGCATTTTAGAATGAGCAAAGAAGAGCCCTTAGGAAATGTGTTTAAGTCTCTGACAACTGTAGATCATAGGCTTCTGTAGTGAAAAATAGGAAGTTCAGACAGTTCTTACAAAAAAAGCAAGCTAAGATCACTTTGAAAAAAGTGTTAGCAAAACTCTGGGACAAACGATGTTCTCCTTGAGGAAATTAAGAGAAAAATAATTGTCAGATGCCAATCACACAATGACAATTCTTCTTGGACTGAAGGACAAAAGAACAATTGAAGAGGAATAGCAGCGATGGTGTCTGGGACACTAACACACATTGCCTATTTCACTTCACTAACTCATTTCCAGAACACCCACCATACCTAATTCTAAACACTTGACAAAGCATGAAACTTAATGAGAATTCTGGAATATTTTCAAAGTATTTTCACATAACTGTGTTAGATTAACAGGAAAAAGGGAGTAACATTAAAAATACCAACAGATAGCCAGATGTGGTAGCGCACACCTTTAGTCCCAGCGCTCTGGAGACAGAGGCAGGCAGATCTCTAAGTTCAAGGCCAGCCTAGTCTGTAAGATCCAGGACAGCCAGGACTATACAGAGAAACACCATCTTGAAAAATAAAACAAAAAATACTAACAGGTCCTTCTTATTCTATGCTGTGCCTGAGTATATTTTAATTTACCTGGTGGAAGCATGCCTGAACCTCGAATCTAGCCACAGGCTCTCCAATTTGGACACACATGGAAGAAGACAAGAGGTTTCTTTGTGTGTGGATGCACATGGAGGCCTCAGCATTGTCCCTCAGGTGTCATCTACCTTGCTTTTTGAGACAGGACCTCTTACTGGAACCTAAGGTTTGCTGATCATTCAGGACCAGCGTGCTTCAGGGATCTACCTGTTTCTGCCTCCCTAGAACCAAGTTTATAAGCCCATGCAACAATACCTGGGTTTTTTATATAGTTTTGGGATGGAACCCAGGTCCTCATGCTTGCAATGGCAAATACATTATAGACTAAACTGTCTCCCCATATTGAAGTTGAGAGACTTCAGCTGCCTTATGACTAGTATCCCTTCATCTAGTCTTTCTCACAATCTGACCTTTACTTTACACTCGCTGGGCTTGCTTTCTTGTTTTCTTTTTATGGTACAGAAAACTGCACATAGTCTAGGCAAGTGTTTTATCACTGAGTCACACCTCCCGCCTGCTTTTTGTTTTGCCTCTTTGTGTCAGGGGAACCCCAAGGTAAATGCATCCTGTTGTCTCTTGGAAAAAGTCAGAATTCCATGGTTTACCATTCAATGAAACTTACACTCTGTCTTCAATTTGCTTCTCCAGATTCATTGTCTATGTGTCTCTTCAGGTTCAGTACACACCCACTGAATACCAGACATTGTGTGAACGAGCGAGCTCTTTGTCCTGAGGTGTGAGAAACAGAAACAAAATATTTTAGTATAGTAGCATGCAGTAACTGCTACTCTAAAGGAATCCATGGGCTCAGCGCCCTGAAGACCTTAGTTCTAACAATATCATGCTACCCAGTTCCTTCCTTCCTTTTTTTTTTTTTTTTTTTTTTTTTTTTTTTTTTTTAACATTTACTTATTTTGTGTGTGTGTTTGGGAGTGTATGTAGAAGTCAGAGCCAACTTGTGTCAGTTCTCTCCTTCCACTGTTTGGGTTCCAGGGATTGAACTCAGGTTGTCAAGTTTGACAGCAAGTGCCTTTACCAGCTGAGCCATCTAACTGGCCCCTCAATTTATTCTCTTTGCTAAGATTTTATTTTAATATTTTATTGTTTTGGTTTCCCTGTGTAGTCCTGGTTGTCCTGGAACTCTTTCTGTAGGCCAGGCTGGTTTTGAACTCACAGAGATATGCCTGCTGGGAGTAAATGTGTGTGTCACCACTGCCCAGTGCTAAGATTTTATTTTTATTGTTGTGTGTGTATGTATGTGTGTGTCCCATGTGTATGCATGTACCCAAGGAGACCTGAAGAGGGGATCAGATCCTGTGGAGCTGGAGTTAGAGGTGTTTGTAAGCTGACTGATGTGGATGCTGGGAATTGAACTCAGGTCCTCTGGAAGAGCATCAAGCACTGTTAACCACTGAACCATTTCTCCAGCCCCACTACTCAGCTTCTTGAGACCATCAGACATTTTCAGAATTGACTCTTTGAATTGTGTCCTCTGTCAGGAATCCTCTGCCATCCTCTACATCGCTATCAGACTTGAACTTGTTTTTTAATCTAGCAAATCATCATCCCCCAACATTTCCCCAATACACATCCATTCTTTGTAGTCTCACATCAATTTCCATTTATCCCTGGACTTTAATTGACTTAATCAGCTGCTTTCTTCAACCTGCTGCGGCCACCATCTTGGTATAGTCTCTAGGCATCTGTTAAAGAGTTACAATATGAACTATTCTTTAGTTCAAATTTTCAACAATCCTGTGAAAAAAGGAACGCTACTATTCCCAATTTTTCAGATGTGGAAGCTGTGTCCCAGGGTCATGACAATGTCATAAATACAAAGAGTGAAAGAGAAAATAGGGTTTCAATGCCCAGGTTCGTAAAGCCACAGAACCTGCTGCCTCAATAGTTAGCTCCGAGAATAATGAAAGAATGGGCTAACGAACAAGAAAGAGCCCTCTTCCCTAACTTCATAAAAGGAGCAAAAGAGATATCAAGCCTAAGTTCGGGAGGTACAGGGTAGGGGCTCCGTGATCACGATCAGCTTAGGCGCTAATCAAAGAATCCTAGGAAGTCTTATTTTCAGGGCAGCAGTAAAATGGGGAACTCTGGACCTGAAGCCGACAAAAGGCTCAAATACTCACCGCCGTGTTCCAGGAGCGGTTTACGCGGTTGTCCGATTCTGACAGGCCCGAGGCGACGACTAGATCTAACCTAAGAGCCTAGTTTATTGATTAATGGTCCAAGGCTGCCGGAAGCGCTTCTTTTCAAAAGCCCTACGCCACAGGAAATTATTACAAGCCGGTTGCAACGCCTAAAAATGTCCGCGTTCTGCACAGCCGTTTCCCCTGGTATTGTGACTTCTTAGAGCGACTCACATCTTTACAACTCGGTGAGTCTTGAAAGAGGAACTCTAACATTGGCGCCCAGAAAAGCGACAGGAAATTGGGAAGGAGAGACATGCGCGGGAACGTGGAGAGCGAGCGGCCGGGGTTTCGGGGGGACCCATTTTGAGGTTGCACCTGGCTGAGGATGGCTGATACTGCCTCTCTGTGTGACCCGCCAGCACCCCAGGAAGTCAGTAGCGAGTTTAAGAAGCCTGTTTTGCCGGTGCCTCCAGCTGTGCGGAGTAAAGCTCCAGCCTCCAGTCCCTCAGTCCCTGAGGATGTGGAGAAGGAATGTCCCACCGTGCTGCTGGACGCTCCCTGTAGGGAGCCCGAGGTCCCATCCGCTCAGCGGGACTGCGAGGAGACTGGGAGTCCACCGGCGGAGCAGCTCCGATCCCCGCGGGTAGCTGCTGCTTCCGGCGGCCCAGCCCGGGCTCCCCCATACCAAGAGCCATCGTGGGGCAGCCCAGCCACGGCCCCCTACAGTCTTGAAACCCTGAAGGGTGGCACTATCCTTGGCACCCGTACCTTGAAAGGGACGAGCTGCTGCCTTTTCGGGAGGCTTGCCAGCTGTGATGTATGCCTGGAGCATCCTTCCGTGTCTCGGTACCATGCGGTGCTACAGCACCGTGGGTCTGATCCAGACGGAGAATCTGACGGCCACGGGCAGGGCTTCTATCTCTATGATCTGGGAAGTACCCATGGTACTTTCCTTAACAAAACTCGCATCCCACCCCGCACTTACTGTAGAGTCCACGTTGGGCACGTTTTTCGCTTTGGAGGCAGCACCCGGCTCTTTATTCTTCAGGTAAGTAGAAAAATCTAAAATAAGAATCCTGGGACTTAACTATGCTGGGAATTATGAGTTTCTTTAAGTTTGGTTGAGAAAAAAGGATTTTCCCAGTCACCAGTGACAAAAGGATAGCGGTCAGTCTGCACCCACAGGTTTGTGTGCATTGCTGTATCTGGGAAAATAAATTTCCATTCATGAATCCATATATGTATATATTTTCCCCCTTGATTCATTAGGGACCAGAGGAAGACCGGGAAGCTGAATCTGAGTTAACAGTAACACAGTTGAAGGAACTGCGCAAACAGCAACAGATGCTATTGGAGAAGAAGATGTTGGGTGAAGATTCAGATGAAGAAGAGGAGACAGATACCACCGAAGGGAAGAGAAACACTAGTGGTCAAGATGAGGAGATGGGTTGCACGTGGGGAATGGGTAAGACATTACTAATGAAAGTTCTGAGTTCATTACTAGTGTTGCCTTAAATGCTTTTGATCGGGCAGCTCTTCATGGCTCCTTGATGTAGATGTAGGGCAATCATAATTTGCATATAAAGTAACCAAAGCCAGGTTCCTTAACTTTAGTGGTATAAAAAAAAAAAATTGAATCGTGGGCACTGTACATACTTTTCCCCACTATACAATTTGCTTATTGCCTTCATCATTTAAACACTCACACAGGCAAACACACCCAGGGTGCTAAGTAATTATCACTGGAGGGCATGGAAAGTTTTACTTCATTCCTTTAGCTAAGAAATCAGCATTTGATATTTCATCTTTCAGGCCATTTTCACAAAGTACAAAAAAATTCAAGAGACTATTGAATGTATCCACAAGCACCAGACATTTAGGATGATGGATACTCGGGTCTATAAAAAGAAGTCAGAGGCTAACGGTATTGTGACCCACACCTTTAATCCCAGCACTCAGGAGGGAGACACAATGTGGATCTCTGAGTTCAAAGTCAGACAGATCCACATATGGAGTTTCAGGACAACCAGAGCCACATTATAGAGAGATCCTGTCTCAAAAACTAAAAAAGAAAGCAGTGTGGCCTGATGAGATTGCTCATCAGGTAAAGGTCTCTGTTGCCAATTGTGATGACCTGAGTTGATCCCTCGGACCTGTATTGTAGAAGGAGAGAATGGATTTCCGCAAGTTGTCCTTTGACCTCCATGTGCACCATGGCACTTGTATATGTGTGGCCTATAGATATAAATGTGATGACAGAATAAATACAAAAATACTATGCAAAGTGTCAAGAGTAAGCTAGAAATTGTTGGAGTTAGCATCAGAAAGGGAAGTAGTCATTGGGGACTTAAACATGTGCTGTTCAGTGTGGTAGGTGTTATCTGTATGATCTGTATGTCCAAACTAGCATGTCTTCTGAGTACAGACTACACAGGATTTCAGGGATAGTGAAAAAAAAGAATTATTTGCTGTCATTTTTTTGTATTGATTATTGTGATGGAATGACCATTTTAAAGTAGCTCATAGCAAATTCAAAATTACACTGATAACATTCATGCTTTCTGCTAGACAGTACTAATTCAGATCTCTTGGAAACTATAAATTCAGTTATTTAATTTTTGTGTGTTTGTATTGGGGGTCATGGTGTACATGTGGAGGCCAGAGGATAACTTGTAGGGGTTGGTTGTCTCTTTCTACTCTTTGGGTCCCAAGGATCAAAAACAGGTGTCAAGTCTGACAGCAGAACCTTTACCTGCTGTCCCACTTTATACATGTTTAAAGGAGAATTTCAGGATGGAATGTGAAGGAAAGGAAAAGAAGTCATAATATAATCTCACAGTGGTGTCATGTGTAGCCATGACTGTTGGTGTTAAGGGTCTGTTTGGCAGGCAGAATTATTAAGAAGTTATATTGGAATCATAAGAAATTATATTGGAATCAATGAGTAAGACCTGAGTAGGAGTGAAAGGATAGGCTAAAGAGCTCAGTGCTTTTTCAAAGTGTAGTAAGTAAATGTTGTCTTTAAAGTGATGAAACAAAAAATGCCATGGGCACATGTCTTTTACATAATTTAGAAAACTAAAACGAAAAGTTGTTTATAATTTGTGGTTGTTCTATCCCATGCTCTCAGATATCTTTCTTTTAATCATTTTCAAATATAAATAAGTGTGTGTGTGTGTGTGTGTGTGTGTGTGTGTGTGTGTGTGTGTGCGCGCGCGCGTGCTCATGTGCTTCTTGAAACATTATCACGATGTAGTCAGGCGATCCAGGAACTTAGAATCCTCCTGCCTCAGCCTCCTGAATACTGATTACAAGTGTGTCACTGGGCCATGCCAGCTCTCCTAATTACCCTCACTCTGTCTAGAAGGACCATCGTGCCATTCGTATACCCTTTTCTCATCTTTGTTCTCTCTTGTCCCCACAGGAGAGGATGCCGTAGAGGACGAGGCTGAAGAGAACCCCATTGCCTTGGAGTTTCAGCAGGACCGGGAGGCCTTTTATATAAAGGATCCAAAGAAAGCTCTCCAAGGCTTTTTTGACAGGGAAGGTATGTAAGTAAATGTGGTTCTGGCCCCAACGGTAAACCATGCTGGCAGTGGGGCTGCTTCCTAGAGCTTTAAGTGGAACCGCATCTTTGCTTGGTTCTTGCCTTGTGACCAGTTTCTTTGGCTCTATTTACTTTTATTTTTTGTGGGCTGCTGAGGCTCAAACCTTGGGTATGTGCTGGGAAACTGCTCTCTCTGCCACTGAGCTGTACCACCAGCCCCAGGTTTATTTTGAAAATAGTAAAACTCTTGTTTATTTGTCTTTCATTTTAAAGAAATGCTTTTAACACATTCTTCTCAAAAGTTCTTGGACTTAGTGGTAGGGAAATGAGGCAAAGCCTTTGAGTTTATTGTTTCTAATCCACATTGCTTTTATAGTCAGTACTTTTTAATGTGTGTGTTCTGGAAGACCTGAGGTGTCACCCTCAGAAGCACCAACTTCCTCATAGGAGCCTGGGTCTCTGTCTTGAGCTCAATAACCACACTAGACGGGTTGGCCTCTGACCCCCAGGGGTCCTCTCATCTCTGCATCTCCGGCGCTGGGACTGCAAGCATGTGCCACCATGCCTGGCTTTTTCACCTGGCTCCTGGGGCATTGAACTCAGGTCCTTATTCTTTCTAGGCAAGCACTTTTCCAACTGAGCCACCCTCTACAGCTCCTGGTCTTTTCAGTTCTTAGTACAGATTTTAACTGCACTAAGTTATATGATAAGAAAGATCTCAGGAAGTCTCTGGAGATACTAAGATCTGAAGATGCTCAAGTTCCTATATCTAGTAGCATAGTATTTGCATCTAAACTATATGTAGCCTCCCATGTACTTTGAGCATACTCTAGATTATTTACAATACCTAATATACTGTAAAGCTATGCAGATGGTCATTATACTGTGTTTTTAGAGAATAGTGACAGAAGTATACATGTTCAAAGCAGATAGTTTTTTTCATTTCTTTTTTATTTTTTTGTTTTGTTTTCTAGACAGCGTTTCTCTTTGTATCCTTGGGTATCCTGGAACTCACTTTGTAGAATTATTTTCTTCCATGTCACATTCATTCTTGTCTTATTTTCAGGTGCTGATCCCTAGGAATAAGTTAAATGTATTGAAATGTAGTGCTTGTTGTGATAGTAAAACTTGGTGTCTTATATTAACTAGTAATTTTTAGCTCTTACTAAAATGTTCTTTCTGCAGGAGAAGATTTAGAATATGAGTTTGATGAGCAGGGACACAGCACATGGCTCTGCAGGGTGAGGTATGTTGGTTTTTTTTTTGTTTTGTTTTGGTTTGGTTTGGTTTGGTTTTTTTGAGACAGGCTCTTGTTAAATACTGAACTAATGGATTCTTTTCCTGTTTATGTCTGTAACTGGAAGTGGCCAGTTTCAAGTTAACATGTGGTTGCAGAGAATATCCCCAAGAGTAACTTTACTTGTCATTTTAGGCTGTTACCAGTTTAGTAGCACTGGGATCTGGGGTGAAATTAATAAAAGTGGAAGCAAATGAGATGACGTTTAACCCTGGCAAGACAGAATGAAA